CTCCCCATCTGTTGAATATATTTATTATTTTACATATGTTTTATCTATATGCTTGTATATATATATACTCACTCTAGGTAATACAAAACTGAAATAAGCAATAATCCTGCTCTAAAAGAACAAATAGTCAAATTAAGTAAAATAAAATATACTAGTTAGAAAGAGAAAACAGTAAGTACTTAGAAAGCTGCAGATATTTTCCTGTGAAAGGTCAGTAGCAGGAGAAATTCTCTTTGGCTCGGGAACCTAGGGAAGTTAACACCTGTATTTTATTTATTTTTTTAGTTCACTGTAAAATTGTGCCCATCTTGACACCGTGTGAACCCACTGTCCTCCGGGATCAGGGGCTGCAGACGGAGATGCAGGCTCCACTTCCTGTGGTTAGCACGGGAAGGTGTCCAGAGGAGGAACTCATGAAATATTTGTTGACTATACAGAGGAGCGAAGCAAATTTTCTATGTTTAAGCAAGTAAACATTTAATTAACCCATGCTTGGGCACAGGAAGGTACTCTCAATGACCGGCCCATCCGAGCTAGTTGCAGTTTGGATTCCCCTTCGGTTTTCTGGCTGCCTTCTGGGAGCGGGCCAGTGAGGCCAAGCCCACGCCCAGGCGGGAGAGGAGCGGGGCCGAACCGCTGCGGCCTCCGGTGCGCTCAGGCCCCCGCTGCCCCCGCTCGGCGCTCCGTCTGCCTTCGCAGGCTCGGGCCCGTTCTGCCTACCTGGTCCCCTTCCTTCCCTTGGAGCCGCCTAGGCCTATGTGAGCTTAGACCGCCTAGTACTTTCAGAACTGTTTATTCCTCCAGAACTTAATTGCTGACCTATCTAATTACTATCTCTTGAGCTCCATTCTGTCTGGACAAAATGAAAAAGTAAATTACTACACTTATTAAATAAGTAATCTTATTTCGTACACGATCTAAGTCAATAAGCTCTGGCCCCAGGACTGAAGAGCCCTCCCAGTAAAGTGCATAGATTTATAACAACTGCTTCCTCCTCAAGTTAATTATGGTCTATCAGAATAATGGTGAACATCCAAAGTAAGAACTCTAGACTTCTATATCTGTAATTAAATCCTTTCCATCTCTGCTAATCATGACCTCTGTTCTCTTCTTAAGCCTTTTAAGGAAACTAGCACAGATGCTTAAATCTACCAAGTCTTTATGATTTAAAAGATATTCACAAGGACTGAACCAGGTTTTAATTTGCTGTGAATCAGGGTTAATGGGAATGGAGAAGGAAAACTCTGAATGAATAGATCTATTTATCACTTCAGCAATTAATAATAAAATGAGACTTACCAAATCACATTTTTACCTTTCAGGTATTTAGGCTGTTTGAATATTTTGCTTAGCCAATTTTTAGATTCAGCCATGGTCAATATTATTTCCTGTTCAATTAGTATATACTGTCTATGAACACAAATTTTATTCTGTTTTTATTTTCTTCCCTAAATTCCATTCAGTTGTCTTTCTTCCTAAGGTCAGAGAATAATGATAGAGCTTCTGAGATTCTTCTGAAATCTTCTGCTTTGGTTCAGCTAGGTGAGGAGTTTACAAGGCCATTGTTTGCCGTCTTCAATGATACCTTAGCTATTTTATGAATACAAATAGGAAGCAAGTCGGGAAGCCCCTGCAAAGACTCTCTAGCCCATCACTCTCAGTTTGCTCTTCATGACTGTAAGGGGCTTCCATCGATGGGTGGTTCTTCAGTTAAAAATATCTCCAACTTCTAGTCTCAGCTAAAATATCATTTTAACTGAGGTCTAGAAAAGTTTTATAAATAATTCTTAATCCTTTGGGCCATATTGGCAACTTTACATTTAGTCAGTCACTCAACAAATATTAATTGAATTCCTTTTATGCTCCATGCAAAATTCTAATAGCTGGATATACACATGTAAAATTTAAAAAGCCCTTATTGTAAGAAATTAATGTGGTAATTAGGGAAGATGGACAATGTGAATAAATAAGATCCTTTCAGATACTGATATGTAAGTAGATGAAAATAATGTAAGAGTGACTGAGACTTGCTTAGGGAAAGCCTCTGAGAGAAGAGACAGGGACTGAGATCCACTTGATGGGAAACTGGGAGTCATGTCACATTCTCTGAGCAAGAGGATATGAGTAAGAAAGACATAACTCAGTGTTAATAATGCCAGGTGGGATGCACAAGATGGCATCGCGATAGTGTAGATAATAGGCTATGGGAGGTTCGATAATGTCCCACTTGCACAGGGACTAGAAAGAAGCAGAAATCTGGACCTGCAGTGACAAGGGCCCTCTTGTGTGAAGGAACTGGTGAGAAGACTCGGGGGTTGAGATTCCTTTAGACTGGAAGTGTTAAAAAAAGCTCCGTTGAGTTTGAAAAGGTAGGCTTGAGTGGAACTGAAGAAAGCCTGAATGGCAGGCTAAGAGAGTTGGACTGTATTTGCTAAGAATGGGATCCCAGGGGGGGTTGTGAGCAAGAAAATGATGTGAGATCACAATGGTAAAAGCATAATGAAAGGAGTCAAGTATTCAGCTTAGTGACTGTTACAGTAAGCCTGGTGCCTGGTGAGGTGTGCCCATAGCTTTCAAATAGATGAGAGAATTTCAAACTGATGATGTGCTATAAGGAAAAATATGCATCTGAAATTTTGTGAGAATAGCTTTTCTTTTTTTCTTTCTTTTGTTTTGTTTTATTTTATGTTGGACTGCTATTCTCCTGGAGAAAAAAAACAAACATGAAATGTATTCCACACACCCAACCCAACCAAAACAATCTGATTCAGAAGGGAAAGAAGGAAATCCCTCCCCTTCTTTTTTTAATTAAAAAATTGATTTTTCTCTCTCCAGCTTACCTTTTTGTTCCAACTATATCCCTTGTGATTCTATAAGCTTGAAGCAATGGTAATTAAATATTCAATTTCTGCAAGACGGAATGACTAGAAATTACTATACTTAAAATCTCTGGTTGTACCTTAATGCTGTTTATATGACAACCTAAAGGAGGATATTATTCATGTCTGACCACAGTTTCCAGAGCCTGAAGGAGGCTTCGGCGATGTTACCTCACACTTAATCAACCCTGTGAGTCTGAACTTGACTTCAGCTACCTGAAAACCTAAAATCGTGTTTGCGGGAGTGGGCAGGGTGCAGCCAGTTTGGATTGAATTTCTGTAATAGAAGGAACATGTTTCCTCACACAGAATCTTACAGGAGAAAATTCTTTCTAGAAAGACTCCAAAACCAAACTTACCAAATTGGTACATCCTTCCTCGCCTTGGGCCACCTATTTTGTAGTGTTCAGTTTACCTAGTACAGTTTCTCTTTTCTTCACACCTCCAAACGCTGCCCTAGGATCTCCTCCCTACTATAGCTATCTTGTATTGCCATGTTGCCACAAAAATTTCAGCGACTGCAAAATGCCTCTTTTTGAATCCTAGAAGCCTTTGGGATTTAATATCTTCTTAAAATAACACTGAGCCTGCTAAGTAAGCAGAAATTCAAAACTGACTGATTTCCCCCCCCACAAATCTCAGGAAATTTTAAAAAATAGAGTAACAGCAAGACATCTAAATTTTTTCATAAACTTCTGAAGATTTTATTATAAAATATAACCAACAAGGCTTCAGAAATATTATCCCAGCCAGGCAGAATTCTTCATGTGGCTTCTGTTTCTTCCTTTTTATACTTCTCAATAAAATGCAGGTTCTGTGGCAGTTTCAAACACCCCAAGCATACTTGTGCACTTATAGAGAGATGGAACAGGAGGGTAACTTTTAAATCACTAAAACCTGGTAGTATCAGAACTGTGGATAAATTGAAAAATGAAAAAAAATCATTAGAGTGTATTCCAAATAAAATACTAAAAATTCAGAAATAAGATTCTTTATAGTAGGAGTCATGCCCAATTTAGACCCACTGAATACATTCATTACCAGGAGTGTCGCTAGGACAGTAATCAAGTGTATGGTGATTAGCAGAATAACTTTGATCCGGGATTTCACTTATAAATTTGCAAATCATTAGCATTTGTCATGGGCCAACCCTGGGGCTTGTATTGCATGTTTGTAGAACTGTTTGCTCTGCCTTCTCTCTCTCTGCCTCTCTATCCCACAGCTGTCAGTTCCTCAGATTGATTCCCAAAGGGAAGAACATTTGTCAAGTTATATTTGTGGTTTATCTAATACTTCTTCATATGCCCTCTTTATCATCTTTCATTAGAGACTGTCAAAATTAAATTGTTCCCCTTCATTAATACTATCTTCCATAAATTATATGAAGAATATAACATTCGATTTAAAATGGAAAATGATATCAAAAGAGACAAAATAGATTTGTCTCAGAAGCACATATCGAGTAATAAGAACAAAGGAAAACACTTAAAAGTCTTAAAGCCCAAATGATTTGGTGCTTGGGGGGGTGAAGGGGACAGAGAAAACAACACATTATTACTTGTTCCCAAATTATCTTATGAGCAATCACGCACAAGAGGTTAGGAGGAGACCATGTAGAAACTCACTCAAAGTGAGTTGTAGTTAAAACTCTGAACCCTACACTTACTTTCTTACAATTGAAGATTTTGGAGAACATCTCATTTTCCCTCAATAGTAACTCCCTTAGACATAGAAAAGATCCTTGAAAAGAATCTTAGCATGAACTGATTTATAGAAAATAAAAATTTTTTAATCTGTATAACCTTTTCCAAACTGTAAAAACCACATTGGTGAAAGGAAAAAGGTAGAGGCCTTGAAGACCTTCAGGCCGCACTTCGGATGATCTGCTCCACTATTACTAAGGACTTGAAGCGGAGGTAACCGCACGCGTGCCTGGCTGGGAGGGGTGGCCTCAGGGTTAAATGAGAGAACGTCTATAAAGTGGCTCACATGCAGAGTGCAAGCCCATAGCAGGCATATGGTGAGAAATATCTTCTCTTTCCTTCCCTCTCCAACCCAACCCTCATGCCCATACATGAAACACTACTTAAACACTCCCCCCTAAATACTTCTACACACTAGGGACATAACAAGAAAATTCAACTTAAGTCAGAAACTGATTTGTGAATGCATTACAGGAACATGCCATTAATATTATTCTAATGTTTTAGGGTACCCTTAGATGATCTCAGAAAGGGAGAAAAGATGACCGTGATGCCCCACCAGTACTCTTCTTGGATCTTCGTCAATGAGAGGACATTCCTTACCGGGTAACTATGTATCTGTCTCATATGTTATTCTAGTCGCCAGTCATTTGTAGATTACACCCCAGCACTATGTCAAACTAAGCATGACAGGTGATCCATAAGATCAGTAATATGAATCACCAGTTGAGACATTAAGTAAGTTGAATGAAGATGTTCTTAGAAACTGCTAAACCATGCCTTTCATGGAGCAATCCCTCGTATTTCATAAAGGGCGGTCTAATTTCACTAAAGGCTAAATTTCTGTTAGTAGTTGGTACAGTTCTCAGGAGCAGCATTAAGTAAAGGATCTGAGGCTACTCATAAATGATTTATCCAAAGAATTAACCCAGGAACCCAACACAGAGCTTCCTGTCTTCTTCTCTCTTCTCTGTCCTCAGGACACACTTCGTTTTTGCTGTTTCCCTCCGAACATTAGGTTATGCAATGTGGCCAACAGCCCCAGCTGTTTCCTTATACACAGCAAATAGCATCCTATGTTGCTTTTGAGAATAATAAAGTAGGGACTTAAAGATTGTAAGAGAAAAGATGAGAAACTGAACTTTGCTGAGCTAGAGCAAAAGCTGAGTAAGGGAAAGATTAAATGCTAAGAAAAAACAAGTGGCGCTGGAACATGACCCATGTCTTACAAGGAAGACAAACAAAGCCAAATAGGAGAGAGAGAGGAGATGTAATGACGCAGGGCTGGGAAATAGGAAAGCACAGGGAACATATATGCTCAAAAATGGAACGAAAGCCACAGGTGCAGGAGAGCATGAAGTTCAAGAAGTAAGACGAAGACATAAAGTGAAAGTTAATGGAGTCGTTTATTCATTCCTCCAATACTAACTGCTCCCTGCGGAGAGGCCCTCTTCTTGATCCTCTTGATCACTATGAGCACTCAACAGGGAGCCACACAAAGCCTTTACCCTCATGGGTTTGCCTCCTACAGAGGAATAAGTAGTCCCCCCTTATCCATGGTTTCACTTTCTGCAATTTCAGTTACCTGCAGCCCGAAAATATTAAATGGAAACTTCCAGAAAGAAACAATTCATAAGTTTAAAATTGTGTGTCATCCTGAGCAGTGTGATAGAATCTCACCGTCCTACTCTATCCCACCTGAGGCAAGAATTATCCTTTTGTCCAGCACATCTAGGCCATATAGGCTCCCCACCCACAGGTCGCTTAGTAGCTGTCTCAGTCTATCAGATAGACTGTCACGGTTTCTCAGCGCTTGTGTTCAAGTAACCCTTATTTTACTTAATAATGGCCCCAAAACACTAGATTAGTGATGCTGGCAGTTCAGATATGCCAAAGAGAAGCCATATGTGCTTTTATTAAATGTAAAGGTGAAAGTTCTCAACTTAATAAGGAAAGAAAAACATTTTTATGCTGAGGTTGCTAAGATCTGGTAAGAACAAATCTTCTATCCATGAAATTGCCTAACTTATAAATTAAACTTTACTATAAGTATGTATAGGAAAAACATAGTGTATATATAGGGTTTGGTACTATCCGCAGTTTCAGGCATCCAGTGGGGTCTACGAGTGTATCCCCACAGATAAGGGGGACCTACTGTACAGTCAATATGTTAAATAAGTGAGTAACTATATATGTTATTAGATGCTGAAAGGTTTGAAGAATAAAAATAAAGCAGGAAAGGGAGTATTGAGTGCTGGGAGTGGAGAGCAAGCCGGGTGAAACTCCGTATAAGAAGCCAGGGAAGTCCTCAGTGAGGAAGTAACATTAGAATAAAACCTGAAGGAGCTGAACCAGCAGACTGTGCAGGTATCCGGCTGGGAGCATCCAGGCAAAGGGACAGCAAGTTCACAGACCTGAGGCAGGGCAGAGGACGCCAGTGTGGAGAGGGGAAGGGGAAGGACCGCCCCAAGAAGGTCCCCCTGCCACATTTGCGTCCCCGCAAAGAAAATGACAGAAGGAAGAGCGCTGTCTCCAAGGCCGCAGCCGGGGTCTACACCAGTGTCCCCCTCTGCCGGTGTGCCTTCTGCGCAGGGAAAGTTTAACGCGCCAGGAGGGGGTCACGGGAGCAACAGTGCGGAGATAACGCATAAACCCATGTCCGCGTTTTCCTGTTGCTCACCCCTGCCTGCCTCGGGTCGGCCGTGAAGTCATGACTCCCACCTGCCCCAAGGGCTTTGCTAAGCTACTCCTGGGCCACCCCTCAGCCTCCAACCTCTGAGGTCACGGCCATTGTCCCTTAGCTGGCTGCAGCTGTGACGCCGAAGCTGCACCGCCCGAATTCCTGAGGAAAGCAAGGACCTTTCTCACTCAGACCTTTAGATTTGCTCCTGTGATCGGATTAAAATATACTCGAGACAGGTACTAGGTAACTTCAATCCACAGCCCCTGTCTGCACAGCCTGGCACCAACCTCTCCTCCCAGACCAAACCTCAGGACAAATGTCACAGAGAAGCTCCTGTGCCCTCCCTGTCTCCTGTCTGCCCTTAGGCGTATTTCTAGTCTGGTTAATTCCCATTTGTATGCATGCCTTTCTCTTTATTCTTCTGGTCTTTTCTCGGGAACAATTTTCTTCCACCTTTACCGAGCTCCTAGTTCGGTTCTGAGATTGGTGTGAATCTCACTGTGGCCATGGCCAGCCAATGGTAACTCCTGTCCTGGATCACCACATTCCCTTCTTTTGATCATCTGTGTAGTCACAGAGTGAAAATCATGAATTTTCGCTGACATGACACCCATTCCATACACTGATAGTAGCCAAGTCAATTTCTGTTTCTTTTGTAATATTTTATTGTTTCCCATTCTCAGCTATTCACTTTCCCCAAGAAATTGTCCCTGAACTGCTCTGCAGTAAGATTTTAATTAGCTTGTTAATTACTTGTTCTTTTAAAATATTTTTTGTTCAAAAAGTATTTGTTCTTTTAAAATATTTTTCCAAATTATGAAGTATGATTATTTTGAGAAATTATTATATTTTCATATTTATATAATTATAAAACTGAGAAAATATGGAAACATAGAGATTGAACAAGTGAAGATTACCCATAATCTCACTACCAGGGAAAAACACACACTGCCTAATTTTGGCTTACTCCCGTCTCCTAAGGATTTTATTTGCCACAGTTGAGATCATATTGTATCTTGTTTTACACACCTGGCATTATATTGGAAATACTTGTATTTACCATTTAAAAATCTTTCTAAAGATGATTTTAATGACACTGTAGCACTCAGTGATCTAGAAGTATCATAATATAATCATTTCTTTAATTTTGACCTTCAAGATGGCTCCAATTTTTTGAATACACAAGGGCTAGTTCACAGAAGTGAAATTACTGGATCAAAGAGTACAAATAAACCTAATGTGACTGCTACAATAATTAGCTTTCTAAAAATGTTTGATGAGTGTTCTCCCTCACCGACATCTTACGTCTCCCGGCTTGTCTTCATTGTCTCCCACCAGCTGGTTTCCTGAGGCAGAATGTAAACACTCTGCGCGTAAGCTCTCAGCATCTTTTGCACCCTGTTTCCCAAGGTGCGGGACCTGGATGATTTTAGATAAAACATAGATCATTGATTTTTATTTGAAAACTTATGGAAAATCTCAGAAAAATATAACTAGCATATGAAATTTTTGATTTCACAAACATTATTGCTCATGACAAATAAAAACTTACTTAAAAGAGGGGTCAATTAGAAAAACATTGACAACAGATGATACTTGGGGTTAGCCAAAATCATGAAAGCGGTACATGAATAATTAGTTTGAATAGCAGGGACACAGCTCTCAGCCAGAATATATTCATTACTTTCCTTCAGAATAGCCTTAAAGTCAATACTCTAATTAATTTTTTACCTCTGAAAATATTTTTTTATAAATACTTTCTAATATAATCAGGAATATAAGAGGAGAAAGGAAACTAACAAAATTTGAAAACCTCTATGCCTTCCCATTTTATAATTGGTTTGCAGGAAACTATGTCATAGTGAAACTGCATATTTTGGGGGAGGGTATTTCCAAAGAAAGATCTGTGATTCTAGTGACTCTTATTTTGTGTCACTAGAATTGATTGAATTGAAGGATTTATAGTTTATCTTCTATAACCCAAAGCCCCTTTCAGGCCCTACTATCCATGTATTAATTGCAACTCCAGATGGTAAAGTAAAATATTACAGCATTTATACCAACACCTGACTTGATAGCTTTTCTCAGAATGTGGTCCCTGAGTCACCTGCCTCCAATCAGATGCTTGTTAAAAATGCAGATCTGAGCCCTGGCCAGTGTGGTTCAGTTGATTGGAGCCTCCCCTTCCTGCACCAAAATGTCTTGGGTTCGATTCCAGTCAGAGAACATACCCAGGTTGCGGTTGGATCCGGGTCAGGGCGCACCTATGGGCGCAGCAGAGCAATGATTCTCTCTCACATTGATGTTTCTCTATTTCGCCCTCTCCCCTCTTCTCTCTCTAAAAAATCAATTTAAAAATTAAATTAAAATTTTTTAAAATGCAGATCCTGGATTCTACCCCAGAACTATTTAGGTGATTCTGATGCATAGTGAAGTCCACTGCTCAGAGTAGGAAAGGATTAATGTCTGAGGACTGAGGACCACCTGGATAAACAAAATTCCTGGTGTCTGGGGAAATCTTTACAAAATAGTAGCCAGAAATGATAATACCACTGACCGCCTGTGATATCCAACATGTCACAAATCTGGCAAACACCTCCATTCGTTTATTCACTTAACAAGTAGTGATTCAGCTCCCATTCTGTATTGGTCATTGTTCTAGCAAACAAGACAGAATTACCAACTATTGAGGGGTTTTTCTTTTTCTGCGCAGAAATACACAAAAATAATGGAAATTAATAGGAAAATAGAACCTGCTTGATGGAAATTTTGGTTAATTTAGCAAATTTCATGAGAACTACATGTGAACAATAAAATGAGAGATTTTAATATTAATAGCACAGTAATCAGTATAAAATTTATGTCTTACTACTGGGTGAGAATTCTTTGAGTTTAGAAACTTTCCTGGGTGAAGGGTGTTGGT